CACACAAAGCAAAATACAAAATGAGGTAAATCAGAATATAGACATAAGATGATGCAATATATATAATATACCTCAATGTCTAAAAAAAAAAAAGGAAAATATTATACCAAACCTTATAAACAACGATCAAAGAGCATTTATCAACAAAAGACAAACTCAAGACAATATTAGACGTACTCTTCGCACAATGAGCTACAGGTCCTTCTAAAAAACTTAGCATATTGTGATAAAGGTCATTATTTTCCATAATGTAATGATAAAAATGAAACTTTCATATATTTCAGATTCATTGCACACCAACTGAAATATTTCAGGTCTTTAATTGTTTTAATACTGATGATTATGGCATACAGCTCATGAAAACCCAAAATGCCTGTCCCAAAAAATTAGCATATCATGAAAAGGTTCTCTAAACAAGCTATTAACCTAACCATCTGAATCAACGACGTAACTCTAAACACCTGCAAAAGATTCCTGAGGCTTTTAAAAACTCCCAGCCTTGTTCATTACTCAAAACCGCAATCATGGGTAAGACTGCCGGCCTGACTGCTGTCCAGAAGGACATCATTGACACCCTCAAGCAAGAGGGTAAGACACAGAAAGAAATTGCTGAACCAATAGGCTGTTCCCAGAGTGCTGTATCAAGGCACCTCAGTGGGAAGTCTGTGGGAAGGGAAAAGTGTGGCAGAAAACGCTGCACAACGAGAAGAGGTGACCGGACCCTGAGGAGGATTGTGGAGAAGGGACGATTTCAGACCTTGGGGGACCTGCGGAAGCAGTGGACTGAGTCTGGAGTAGAAACATCCAGAGCCACCGTGCACAGGCGTGTGCAGGAAATGGGCTACAGGTGCCGCATCCCACAGGTCAAGCCACTCTTGAACCAGAAACAGTGGCAGAAGCGCCTGACCTGGGCTACAGAGAAGCAGCACTGGACTGTTGCTCAGTGGTCCAAAGTACTTTTTTCGGATGAAAGCAAATTTTGCATGTCATTCGTAAATCAAGGTGCCAGAGTCTAGAGGAAGACTGGGGAGAAGGAAATGCCAGAAGTCCAGTGTGAAGCACCCACAGTCAGTAATGGTCTGGGGTGCCATGTCAGCTGCTGGTGTTGGGCCACTGTGTTTTATCAAGCGCAGGGTCAATGCAGCAGCTATCAGGAGATTTTGGAGCACTTCATGCTTCCATCTGCTGAAAAGCTTTATGGAGATGAAGATTTCATTTTTCAGCACGATCTGGCACCTGCTCACAGTGCCAAAACCACTGGTAAATGGTTTACTGACCATGGTATTACTGTGCTCAATTGGTCTGCCAACTCTCCTGACCTGAACCCCATAGAGAACCTGTGGGATATTGTGAAGAGAAAGTTGAGAGAACAAGACCCAACACTCTGGATGAGCTTAAGGCCGCTATCGAAGCATCCTGGGCCTCCATAACACCTCAGCAGTGCCACAGGCTGATTGCCTCCATGCCACGCTGCACTGAAGCAGTCATTCATGCAAAAGGATTCCCGACCAAGTATTGAGTGCATAACTGAACATGATTATTTGAAGGTTGGTGTTTTTTGTATTAAAAACACTTGTCTTTCATTGGTGGGATGAAATATGATAATTTTTTTGGGACAGGCATTTTGTGTTTTCATGAGCTGTATGCCATAATCATCAGTATTAAAACAATTAAAGACCTGAAATATTTCAGTTGGTGTGCAATGAATCTGAAATATATGAAAGTTTCATTTTTATCATTACATTATGGAAAATAATGACATTTATCACAATATGCTAATTTTTTGAGAAGGACCTGTATGTGTATATATGTGTGTGTGTATGTATGTATATATTTGTGTATGTATATATGTATATTTGTGTATGTATATATATATTTGTGTATGTATATGTATATTTGTGTATGTATATATATATATATTTATATGTGTATATATTTATATGTGTATATATAAATACTAAAATATTGTACTACTTACTACTTGTATTGCTATTCCTACTTTTGCGGTTTTTCACTTTTTCGCGGGGCTTCAGGGTACGGATCCCCTGCGATAAACGAGGGCCTACTGTATATTCTGAAGTTAACTTATGTCTTCATTGTTGTTTGTTTATTTTGCAAGTCAACAACAGTGTGTAGAGACGGTTCTGTTCGGGAGACTTTCCATCACAGAACTTG